GAGGCTAGCCAAGTTTTTCTAAGTCAGCCTCAAACCAGCTTCCGCCACATCGCTCGTACGACCACAAAATCGCTCTAGAAGCCGACGAAAAGCAACTTTCATATAGTCCGCTATATAAAATGAGCGTACGAGAGCTCGAAGCGACAAAACAGTACTTGCTTGAAAACCTAGACAAGGGATTCATTGAGGCTAGCCAAGCACCTTTCGCTGCTCCAGTCCTCTTTGTCAAGAAACCAAATGGTGGCTTGCGGTTCTGTATTGACTACCGTAAACTTAATGCTTTAAGCCGTAAGGACCGATACCACCTGCCTTTGATAGATGAGACCTTGGCCCGAATCTCTAGAGCGAAGATCTTTACAAAGCTCGACATTCGCCAGGCATTCCACCGTANACCGATACCCCCTGCCTTTGATAGATGAGACCTTGGCCCGAATCTCTAGAGCGAAGATCTTTACAAAGCTCGACATTCGCCAGGCATTCCACCGTATACGAATGGACCCCAACTCTGAGGAATTAACGACCTTCCGTACAAGGTATGGCGCATACAAATGCAAGGTTCTTCCATTTGGACTTACAAATGGGCCTGCTACGTACCAAAGATACATGAATGACGTCCTTTTCGACTACCTAGATGATTTCTGTACTGCTTACCTCGATGACATCCTTATCTATTCGGACGACCCCCTGGAACACGAAACGCACGTTCAATGAGTACTACAAAGACTACGAGACGCAGGCCTGCAGGCCGATATCAAGAAATGCGAGTTCAGTGTTACACAGACGAAATACTTGGGCTTTATTATCTCAACTGACGGCATCTCGGTAGACCCAGAGAAGGTGGCAATCGTACAAAACTGGCAACCCCCCTCGACAGTCAAGGGCGTACAGTCATTCCTAGGCTTCTGCAATTTCTATAGACGGTTCATTAGGAATTACGGAGTAATCGCAAAGCCACTGACAGCTCTTACTCACCATGGCGCACCATTCAATTTCGATAGCCACTGTCACCACGCATTCCAGACCCTGAAAGACGCCTTGACCTCAGCTCCCTTGCTCCAACACTATAACCCAGAACTGGAGAGCATGCTAGAAACAGACGCCTCGGACGGGGTGATTGCGGGGATTCTCTCCCAGAAGCATGGCGAACACTGGTTGCCTGTAGCCTACTTCTCCAAGACCATGGCTCCAGCAGAGTGTAATTACGAAATCCACGACAAGGAGATGCTAGCTATTGTCAAGTCTTTGAAGGAGTGGAGACCGGAACTTGAGCGTACTGCCCAGCGAATTCAGATTTACACAGATCATAAGGCTCTTGAGTACTTTATGACCTCCAAGAACTTAAATGCACGCCAGGCACGCTGGGCAGAAGCTTTGGCTGAATACCACTTTGTTATCAAATACCGCTCTGCCAAAGAGAATACCCGCGCAGATGCCTTGACTAGGCGCTCAGACGAAACAGAGGCCCAGGACTCAGTAAAGAAAGCTGACCGGCTACGCCAACTACTCCGAAACGACCAAATCGATCCCCTAATCCTACACCCCGACTCTACAGCCCAAGCACAAATCAATTCTCTCGACATGGCCCCTATTTCAGCTGAAACATCGATAGTTGATCGGATATTAACTGCCAACCGCACCTCTGAGTCACTTACTGCTGTCCGTCAACAGGCAGAAGTTGATCTAGAAGGTCCCTTTGCCCTAGAAAAGGGGTTGTTGCTATACCACGATCGCCTTGTGGTTCCCGACTCCCAGAACTTACGTACACACTTGATACGCGAGGCTCACAACCAAGTGTCTACTGCTCATCCAGGACGTCAGAAAACCCACAAAATGCTAGCTGTACGCTACTACTGGAAAGGGNTTCCCGACTCCCAGAACTTACGTACACACTTGATACGCGAGGCTCACAACCAAGTGTCTACTGCTCATCCAGGACGTCAGAAAACCCACAAAATGCTAGCTGTACGCTACTAATGGAAAGGGATGTGGAAGGATATACAACAATACTGTCAGAATTGCCACGATTGTCGACGCTCAAGCAGCCCACGAGACAAGACGCCTGGACTACTTCAGCCACTCCCTGTTCCAGACTGCCCCTGGCAGCATGTAACTATGGACTTTTGCAGCTTTCCAAAGGACAAATCAGGGTATGACAATGTATTTGTGGTAGTTGACCGACTCTCAAAGCAAGCCATATCTGTCCCTTGCTACAAGACAGTTACAGCAGAAGATATGGCGAGGCTCTACATTTGTCATGTATATCGCTACTATGGCGCTGCAGAGTCTATTGTTTCAGACCGCGGAGGACAGTTTGTCTCGGCATTCTGGAAAGAGTTTAATCGTATACTTGGAACACAGCTTAAACTTTCCACTGCCCACCACCCACAGACGGACGGACAGACTGAAATCATGAACCAGTACCTGGAACAAAGACTACGCCCGTTTGTCAGCTACTATCAGGACAACTGGGCAGAGCTACTGCCTATCATGGACTACGCGCAACTCACATTGCCACACGACTCGCTTGGTCAAATGAGCCCATTTGAAGTGCTATACGGGTACTCTGCTCGTACTTCATTTGACTGGAACACGCCTACCACTGCCCCTTCAGACCAGCTAAGCGTCGAGAAAGCCAAAATACTTGCTACCCGTATGGAGGAAGCACAGAACACTGCAAAGCAAGAGCTCACTTCGGCCCAGAAGAGTATGGAGGCCTCTGCTAACAAGCACCGACGCCCAGTAGACTTCGGAGTTGGAGACCTTGTTTGGCTTGCAAAGAAACACCTACGTACTGAGAGGCCTAGCCGCAAGCTCGACTTCCCAGGAGCTGGCCCCTATAGGATTATCCAGCAAGTAGGCAACGCTTTCAAGCTTCAACTGCCTGATTCAATGAAAATCCACCCAGTCTTCTCCCCTGATAGGTTAAGGAAGGCTTCACAGAACCCTCTGCCCGGACAAATTAACCCAGAGCCACCGCCTGTCAATATTACAGGTGATGACGAATGGGAAGTTCAAGAGATCCTCGCAAGCAAGGGCCGCAAATACCTGTACTACCGTGTTAAGTGGCTAAACAGAGACGAAGACTTACAATGGTATCCTGCGTCCGATTGCAAATACGCTCCTTACAAGGTAAGAGACTTCCACTTGGCGAATCCAACTCGACCTGGCCCGCCAGCTCGATTGATGGACTGGTTAAAAGCGTGGGAAAGCGGAAGAGACGATTATGATGAATTGGACAGTGATCTACTCATGGATATACGGTCGAGGACGACCTTCTTTAGAGGGGGGGGTACTGTTACGGAGTTGAAGGAATTGGGGGCAGATCACGTGTAGCAGCACGGCACGTGCGTGCTGCTGGCAGCCTGTATATAAGCTTCTGTTCCTCTGTAACTCTCTTCCTTCCTCACTTAGTTGTTCGCTCTATATAGCAGTTTCCGTTTGACTCCGTATTCATCACAGCAAGCAGTGGTTCACTCCACACGGTCACAGCTAGTATTTAGATAATATAGGTTATCGCTTAGGCTAGTTTAGAAAATTAGTTAAGATATAGTAAGTAGATAGGTAGGCTCTTTCGCGTATAGAACCTATTAGGTTCTAAGGAATCTTAGAGGAGTTCTTTTCGATTTCCTTAGAGAGGGTGTTTTTAGGAAGATTAAGGGGTTTTATTAGAATCTTAAAAATATAAGAGGTAAGAGGGGAGTTGAATCTACAAGAAGGGCCGAGTGTAACGAATACTCAAACTGGCTAACTAAACTTGGCTGGGTGTTCGCTGGTTGGTATGCTATGATAAGAAGAAGACTATCGGGTTGTTCACTTGGAAGTGAACTCGTTACTTGTATCAAAGATGTCAAACTAATATGATAAGATTGATAACTAAGTTGAGCACGAAGCTCCTATCTAATGGCAGACGTGCCAGTCCTATATAGAACCCTCATTCCCATGATCGCTGCTGGTCGCCGCGACCAAGATGACCTGGCCGTTGTAGTCGATTTGATTTGATTTNACGTGCCAGTCCTATATAGAACCCTCATTCCCATGATCGCTGCTGGTCGCCGCGACCAAGATGACCTGGCCGTTGTAGTCGCTCGCGACCAAGCGACCACTACTGGTCACGTGATAACAATACAGAGAAATCCCTGGATCGCTTAGCTACTCCAAACGATCCCTATTTGCTATAAGAAACCTGGATGTGCCTGTCGAGGGTTGCGCCTCTTATTATGACAAGTCTCACGTGAGCACGTGATTCGTGACACCGAGGTTATATTATCTCTTCGCTATTTAACAAGTAACTAGCTCCCTTATTACACGGGGTTATAGCTAGTAGAGCTTAATTATTACTACTTGTTATAAAGGTTAGTTAATATACTTTAAGCGAGTTCTCGCTTGATAATAAAATATTTTAGAGGATATTATATATCTTATACTAAACTAGAGAACGTACTATTAGTAAATTAGGAAGAGATACGTACTACGATAATTAAGGGTATATATTACGTTAATAGTTCTCGGTCTATTACTTATTCTAGCTCTTTTCGCTCTTTTACTTTCTATTCTCGGCTTATTACTTTAGGAGCGCGATAGTAGTGTAAGGGTTATAGGGAATAATATTTAAATAGATTACTAGTATATTTATTTAAGATATTATACTTAGTTATAAGGTAGGACTTCACTGTTATAGATTAGAGAAACGCAGACTCCTCGTAAGTTACCTACTCGTTACTCTATATATATTATAAAAAATGTTATTATACTAAATTTCTAGTACAAGTAAGAAAGTTATAGTAGTTTACCTAGGCTAATCAAAAGTAAAGGGTAACATTTATTCTAAGCTCTTTATCTAATTAATTCAAGTGTACGACCCTTTTAAAATAATGTAATTCTAAGCGAGGTATATATAAAGTAATAACTACGTCTCTTATAGTAAGTCCAAATTCGACATTCAAGTTTCTCTAGCAACTTATACGATTACCAAAACTATTATAAATTTCAACCATAGCCTATCAAGCTAACCCCCTCGCATCCTCAAGACTTCTCCTTAACACCGCCGGCGTCCCAGTATAGTTTCCCGGCGAACGAGTAGTGTAATCCCCCTCTACACTCAAATTCCCAATCCTCCCCAACAACAACTCCAACGTCTGGTACGTCACACCCGGCGTATACTCTCCGATGTTGAAATCAACTTCTGGTAATGCTGACCTATTGACGACAAATTCTAAATAGGTAAGCTTGAGAGATGAAAGAAAAGTGAATGTTACAGAGTTTTGTTTGAGAAAAAAATTGAATACAGAAGTTTGATAGCAGAGCTTGATTTGGCATGTTTCAAAACATTGCCATATCTTACCACGCATTGAATATCCCCCAAGGAAATACTCATGAAAAAGAAAGAAATAGTGTCATCATTCGGTGAAGAAGCAGTTCCAACGAATTCCCACCTTAAAAAGGGGCAGAGCTCAGTTTGAGCGAAAAATTGGGACAATGATCAAGTAAAATACTCACTTGAGGTTGCACCTGTGAGATACATAGAAGTAGATCTTACTCTCGGTGCGTCTTTCGTGTAGACAAACGGTTTAGCTTTTTTGGCATGATTCGCAGCCATCTCATGGGGACTTCGAACTGCAACAGAAAGTGTTGCCCCCAAAAGAAACAACAAGGAGTGAACGAATGGCATGATTCTGAATATCAAGTAAATCAAAAACTCAGAGAGAAAATGAATTGAGAAGCTGCCGGATGGTGAAATAGACAAGCATCATCAAAAGAGAAGAGACTCCTTCTATAGGGGAAAGCCATTCTATCCTTCTGTCTGGTGGAGGTAAAGAACATATGATATAGATAAAGATCGGTTAAAGACGCAACCGGCCACTCTTTCCTGCATAGACCCTTGTATATGATCATTCTTGAAAAAGCTTGTTCGTTTTATATCCAGGGGTTGCGGATTAAGTGCTGGTTGGAGGCAAAGTCGGGAACATTGATGTTTCCACCTTTGAGGATCTCACAACTTTTGAAGATATTCGGGGTTTTCTCTGAGAGATATGGGAGACTTACAGGAGATAGCATACAGTGGGACGACTCGCAATTGCAGAGATCGACACACCGATCAAGTAGTGTATGGTTGATTTCAGAACACAGCGCTCTACTACTATTGTACTAGATCGGTAAGAAACCTGGTCATTGCTCTATACACGCTATTAAATGTTATTATCCTAAAAGTCTAGCACAATTTAGTAAATTGTCCTATTTTAACCAAATTAATGAGGAGTAAAAGTATTAATTATTCTAAAGTATTTATATGATTAATTTAGTTATATAACGTCTTTAGGATAATATTTTTATAACTTAGGGGTACACAGAGTGATGCCCGCCTCTCTTACTGATAATAAATTGGTGCGGTCCCTGAAGTCTGTGTATCGACAGTGGAGTACCACCAGGTACTAACAAATAAAATAAACCTTAGCAACTATCTTAATTCGGGTGCAGATATTGAATCCATTTCAAGACGCCACACTAATGGCCTCCCAAGTGTCCGGAATTTGGACGAAATCTTCTTTCTATCAGAAGTTTACATTTTGGTCGCTGAAAAATTCCTGGGACTCTGCCATAACCAATCAAGAACTGTAAATCTATATCGAAATCTATCCCTTGCTCTGTAAGTTCCCTAACCTATTCCTCGCTTAGACTCTGACTGGACAAAACGGCCCTGACATTGAAGCTGGGGAATTCACAGAGTAAGGGATATTCGTTTGTCGACATTGCCAACATATCTCTCCCAAAACTCGGCCAACGTCTTCAAGAGCCACAATTTAAAACATCGTTGAAGGTCGAAGTCTATGCCTGGGTATGGCCTGTACAAGGGGCGGATGAACCTTTTCGGCAGCAGGAACATCCGTCCGGTCCCAGGAGATAGTTGGCGGGATAATTTCTAGCGTCAGAACGCGGCATCATCTTTTTGGCAGCTTTCAATCCTGCACCTTGCGATGAACTCTAATGCCTCTCATCTCCTTGAGTTGAATTCCCAGTCTGTGCACGCTAGCATACAGTTTTTGGACTGGATATGAATGTGGGGTTGTCCCGCGATCCGATTTCGACGATGAAAAAAGTGTATATTGGTGGAAAGGGGCGGGGTAATATTTTGGATGTGGGTACTGTAGACACATTTCTTTCCTCGCGTATTCTCTCAGCCCTGGCCCCTTGCATGGAACAGCGCGAGGCGTACAGTAGAAGAGGTCGAGCTCCGAAGGCAGGAGCGAACCCAAACGCAAATCTAAACCCAAACTCGACCTCGAACTTCACTTGAAATACTACTGGTATCTTTCGCGCCACCTTGATTAGGTCGAGGACTGCGAGTCGACGTCGAGTCTTCAAGGGAAGAAGCGGCCTCAAGTCTCTCTTCTTGACCTCCTGCATCTTCTCTCATCCACCTCATGGTTGGAAATTTGGAGTACCGAGAAGAACATCAATCGCACTTCGCCACTTCCCTCTCCATCAAGTAACCAAGCAAGACTCGTGAGTCTCCCGCATTCCAAGCCCACCCAATCGCATTTTCGAGCAACAATACCAAGAGACAGTAATATTCTATAGACCGACTTGGCGACATGATACTATGAATCAAGATATTACTCGAAGGCTTGAAGAAACTTGAAGTCTCGTAGTGATACTTTCATAGTATTCAAGCTACCTTAGGGAAGAGGAATACTTCTGGGTCTTTTCGTGGGAAACACCTGGAATTCAATAGTAGCCAAAGCCTAGCTATATGACTGACATATAGGCTATAGCTAGGTATTCTTGGTAGATGTTATAAAGCGGATATTGTGTTTAGGGTTTCCCCGTGGTTTAGGTTCTCGTTTAGTATTTTAGTACTGTAGCTTTGGCGGCTTCAACCCCTTCACAAATAAGATTATACAAGTAACCGTCTGTTACTAAAGCCTGGATAAACCTTTCTACTTTAAACTTCGCATTATCGGAAACATTTTAATTATCTTTGAAGGACTTTTCAGTGTTCTATCTTTTGTAAAGAAAAGGATCAACCTTAGCTTGGAGCTTGCCTAAGGACATTTTTTAACGGCCTTATTTTTCGCTATCAACTCTATTACCACTAAAATAAACCAACTATAGTAAATAGGATTCACAGAGACGAAGAATCTACATATATTAGTACAGAGTACACGGAACGGACAAGGGCTAATCGGGCACGGAATTACTAAACTTTTAATAATAGTTTGTTACTCAAGTACTAATAGAACTACTACTCTTACTATCGTATCCTTACTATAGTATCCTGACTATTGTATTATAGAAGATAATAATAGCTTACGACCGGAAGTAAACGTGTTAAGGACGTAAGACGTAGACGTGATATAATGTTTTCGTCTTTTCGCTTAAGTAAGACGGGCGCCTTTCCTAAACCGGCTAGGCTATTACGTTACTATTTCTACTCCTACCTAATTTCCTAAGCCCTCGCTTTTTCTTTTTACTTTATAGTTAAATATAATATAAGACTATAATAGTAAGACTACCTTAGAGGGGAAAGCGGAGTTTTTTAAACTATCTAGAGACTCTCGAAAAAGGGTTTTATATAGAATCTAGTCCTAGGGAAAAAACCACTAGGTAATAGAAGGAGAGCGGTTCATATATAAAGATAGTTTTAAAATATTAGATAGTTATATTAATAAAGTAGTTAAGACTAATTTCCTAAATATAAAATAGTTACCGAATACTTATAGAACGCTTATAGAACTATTATAAAATAGTTCTAGAACGCTTTTAGAACGGTCCTAGAACGGTTCTAAATCCTATTCCTAGCTAGGTATATATATAATTATATAAGTACCTATAGGGTACGTAAGGTACTCCCGGCCTTAACTTATACGTTTATAGGTATATACTATACGCGCGGTACCTAACCCCTTAACGCCCGCTAATAATATTATACGTTAGACCGCCTATAATACGCGCCTATTAAATTTCGCTAAATTAACTAAATTTAATACTTATATCTTTATAGCGTTAGGGTTAAGCGTATAGGAGCACTACCGAATACGTAATATAGCTTATACGCTATAGCTTTGCGCGCCTATATACGACTTTATAAGATACTTTTCTATACTATTCTAGAATTGTTCTAAGACTATTCGGGAACCGTTCGACGACTATTTAAGAACGATTCTTAGACTATTTATAAATTAAACTATTTAAATATAAAATAGTTGTAATCTAAGACTATTTATAAGTAAAATAGTTTTAAAATAGTTTTAAAACTATTTTATATTAAAACTATTATTAATTTAAATTATTATATTTATAAATAATCTAAAGATTATTTTTTATTTAGATAGTTATTAATTCTAGACTATTTCTCATTTAAATAGTTTTATAATTTTAAATTATCTAGAAATAGTTTTATAATAGTTGTACTTTTATAAACTATTCTATAACTATCTAACAAACTCTACTTTTTCCTCTAAGGTATATTTTTAGAATATATTTATAATTATTATAGTAGAAGTTATATAATTTATAAGTTATTACTTTCTAATTGCTACCTTTAAAGTATAACTTATATACTACTAAGATACCTAGGTACCTAGGTACTTATATAGGAATACTAAAACTATAGAAACTACTCTCGCGCTTATATTTAACTAAAATTATATTTAAAATAAGTATTAATTAAGTATTAACTATCTAAGCATTTAAGCTATATTCTAGTATTCTCGCGATACTATTATAATATCTATAGCTAGTAGAGTATAGGCTAGTATACCGAGAGTAGAACGTAGGCTAAGAGTAGGATTACGTTATACTAAGGTATTAAGCCAAGAGTATTCGAGCTTTATATAAGGCGTATAGCTACGCTTTAGTTATACTAAGAGTTATATAAAACTACAATTACCCTCGCGTCTATATCGCGCTAGAATCGTACCTATAATATATATAAATAAAGTATTAAGTATCGACGTATCTAGGCTATATTTGAGTATTCTTACTATACTCTTATAATATCTATAGCTAGCGGAGTATAGGCTAGAAGCTAAATAAGTATATAAATTAAATTAACTTATAAAGAGACTATTAGACGTAATAAGAGGGCGAGGTTAAGCCTACGAGCCCGTCTAGCCTCGTATTAAATAGTTTTACCTTTAATTCTAGCGCTATTATATAACCCTAACCCTAAGCTAGTTTACGATTTATAACTTACGATTTTATATAAAATAACCTTAAAAGTAACTTTTGCGATTTATAATTAAGTTATCTAGTTTAGTAGTAGATTCGGGACACTATAATATATAGGGTAATTAAAAGTAAGTAGTAATAACTGTTTTAAACTAATTATAGGACTATTTTGTCTATTTTAGTTATTCGACGCTTTTAGGATAATTTTAATCTAAGAGAGGTGTATATAAAGTAACGACTACGGCTCTTGTAGGCGATAATTATCTCCTTAATTCAAAAATCTATACAACAGACTTGTTTATAATTAAAAGTTCGTGTTTAAAAGTTTAGTGACTCCGTGCTCGATCCGCCCATGTCCGTTCTGTAACAGTGCTACATTTTTTCGCACCTATGAAAGTAGCGAGAAGGGGGCTGCGCAGCATCTAAGCGAGATTATCACAGCATTTTACGTGTTAACATTATGGTTCAAGGGAAGTTTCCAAGCCATAGATAATGCCAATAATCTCCATATATATCAAGACTACATCATTATTATTGTAGCCCTCATAAGTCATACAACCACGATCATCAGTTCTTCATAAATCGGTCCAACCAAGCATTTCTTGCTACAAGACTTCTCAGTCTCTTCCCAAACACCCAAAGTGGGATAGTCAAGGCTGTAACAGCGACAAAAGCGCTTCCCAAAACATTAAAAACCGCCAAAACACCATCTTTTTCTAGCCAATCATTGACGAAATACGTCAGACCAAAAGTCAAAATATTGCGAGCATTGATTGCCACGAATGCTGGATGTTGTCAGTAAATCCTTTAAGCGGAAATATTGAAGGGGGGAGTCGTGGAGATTATAAATGGAAACTTACCTTCCTCGGATACATTTTCATAACTATCGATCACATAACCAAAACAACACCCGCTCGCGGAAGTCAATGCCATATTTGCGAATCCAAAACACAATACCGGTCCGATCCAGTGCGTTTGATAATGCACACTTGCTCCAAATCCGAAAAAGCCAACAACTCCAAGCAGTAATACCGGAACCATGAGAACAAGTCTAAACTCGGGCTCATAAATGCCGTGATTTTTCTTCGTCAAATACAGACAGAGATAATCATTTAGTGGACCCGAGATTAACTGCCCAACAATAGTCAGGATAAATGGCGAGAGAGAAATAAGACCGACTTGTGAAACGCTAAAGTTGTATGGTGCTTCGGTAAAGATACTGGCGTTCACAACGCTAAATACAACGATCCAGGTAAGGGTAACTCCATAGATGAGGAATGCCCAAATGACTCCAGGGTAGAAAAAGACAATGGCTGGACGAAGGAAGATTTTGAGAAAAGGAGCGTCGCTGTATCTTTTTCCGGTAGCGAACCGAAGCGTCTTCAGGTAGGAGTCTTTCGATTCCTCCAAAGTTGATGGCTGTGGAGTTGATAGCCCTTCTTTAGAGGCGATATCTTGCTCTTGCTTCTCACCCTTGGATGTTATCGTCTGGATATCAGAGAATCTTTCTGCAAGTGGTGGTCGGATATAGGCTGTTTCCGGGACCCAGAAAATAACGAGGAAAAAGAAAACTCCAAAGAATATAGCACAGACTCCAAATGTCCATTTCCATCCAATGTCCTTTATTCTGGTCAGTTGAGTCCAAATCGAAGCTCACAAGGAGACTTACCTCAATTATGTAGCCACTAATCAAACTTCCCCCAGCGATACCACACAACAAAAACAAGTTCCAAACCGCCATCCTCGTAGCCCTTTGATGCACAAAATAGAGGTCTCCCACCGTATTTGCCACTATTACCTCATAGGGAGCCATACCAAGAGCAGATACAATTCTACTCGCCAGAAAGCTATCATAGTTCTTCGAAAAAGCACACCAGACACTTGTAGCAAACATAATAGAAATTGCAATAATGAAAACAGGCCGTCTTCCGAATGTCTTGGCGATAGGACTTATAAAGAATAAAGAAATACCCAGCGTAAGAATCAACCAGGCAGTGGCTTGAGACAGAGTGTTGATACTGATGTCAAGTTCATGCGAGATTTGAACAAATCCTGGTGATAGCATAGGTCCGAACGCTCCCACAACAGCAGCAGAAAGGCCAACTATAAGGAGAATAGAATCTTTCTTCCATAAAGGCCACTAATTCGGGTCAGGTATGTCCACAGCTGGATTCAAAGATAACGTACGTTTAGAGGGTCGTTTGGAGAGTCGGTTGGTTGGGGTACCAAAATGACATGAGAAAGTCTTCCGGTTCCATGTTTCAAATAATTTCGGGGAATCTGTTCAAGCTTACTTGGAACGTCAGATTGGTCATTCATGAAAGCTAGACTCAATGATCAGATTTTCCAGTCTCTCTCATTGTTTCAAAGTCTCACCTGTCCCTGGGACGAGCTCCATTTTGTTGTCATCAAGAATTCCAAAGGCCATCGTGAGAGTTTTGTGGTAGCAAATTTTAATGGCGAGACCCTGGCTCGTTTGAACAGCAACCTTTTTTTTTCTGCGAAGGTCATTACTCTCTTATACATAGGCGAGCTTTGCATAAGCGAGGATAGACAGATGACTAAAAACCCTTACTCAATACCCATGGGGCTTATTTGCTTGAAGGGTTAATGTGGGACAGTTCCGAAAAACCAATGGGATGATAGGAATAGACATATGGAAATTAATGCCTCGGGAGTTGTCTACCGATTGGTTAGTACAGTCACATTGTTCTGCAACGATGAGAATAGCCTGTGTAAACCCTGGTGCGCTTTGAACGCGGGGAACAGAATGCACCCTTGAGACATGTCGTCTTGAGTGAGCTTGGCTCCCGGTGGTAGTATGGAACGGACATGGGCGGATCCGGCACGGAATCACTGAACTTTTAATTTTAAAATTCTGTTTTTAAACATGTCTCTTATAAGTATATGGGGTTTTATATTAGAGGAGCTTTAGTAATTGTCGCCCGTAAGAGACGTAGGTAGTCGTTACTTTATATACCTCTCTTTTCGAATAAAATTATTCTAATAGTGTTATATAACTAAAATAGCTATATAAAGCTATATAAAGAGTTTAGAATAATTACTAACGCTTACTTTTATTAGTCTAGGTATAGTAATATTTTTGTTTTATTTATATTAGAAGGTTAGTAAAATTACCTTTTATTATGAATATATAGAGAAATACTTATATGTATTACCTTCTATAATAGGGTTAAAGGATACGATAGTAAGAGTAGGAGTTCTATAAGTACTTAAGTAATTGTTTGTTATTGAAAGTTTAGTGATTCCGTGCCCGATCCGCCCATGTCCGTTCCGCAAGGTGGACAAGAAAAGTGGCAGAGACTCTTTTATCTTTTCCTAATTAACTAAAAATCATTATATTATATTATTTATTTAGAACAATTGAAATGATTTATCTAAAACTATAGTATATTAAAGGTAATTGTTCTAGATATTTTAAACATTTTAGTACTTAGAATTAACTTACGCTAACAGTAAAAAAATGAGTCTCTGCTACTTTTCTTGTCTACCGGGAGCTTGGAAAAAGCACACCCGAGAGTTGATACGGAGGCCCCCACTACTTGTATGCAGGTGCCACATAAAGGCTTCGACACAGCGCTGGACATTTTCAAAGACCAACTTTACTCCTGCTTTGATCGTTGTCGGGCTCTTCTGCCCCTTAAAAAGGCCGTACTTCGCGACAGACGATTGCAGGGATTTGAGGTCTTGGATATGCACTTTTGAGCCGCGCTCTCGCTTTGGCGATAGGTACTGAACCTTGTAATTATTGAATCTACCTGCCATCAATCCACGACCGAGTCGTCGGTTACTCTCTCAGATGGTTGGGGCCTTCCTCTTTTGTCAAAGCCTAAAATAGTCGACAGACGAAATACACATGTTCCTCAGCTCGTGTATGAATGTGTTTACAGGATTCCTCATTGACTAATCCAAAGGTTGGCTAGCACCAAAGATCCATAGTGAGTTGAAGATGCTGTGGGGAACGCCAATGGGTAGTGGAGCCCGCTATCAAGCTTTAAATTTAAGCTTTAACATCTCTCGCTCCTTTATCCTTTGTCGATCGGAAAACGTCTTCCTGGGTCCCGCTTCTCAAATAGCAAATGCTTCACAAAGACTGTCCCCTTGTCACCATATACTTCCGGACTTGAAAATGAGTTTTGAACTTTCAACAAAGAGAAGATTCTTGGCTTTTTTAGTCAGGGAGAAATCTTTCCACCATGATAGGTGTAAATTCTTCGTTGCGAGCCTGTCAGTTTAAGGTACCGCAATTCCTCAACCATAATACAATCAAACAACATAATGGCGAACACGGGAAATGACAGTGGCAAGAGGGGAAGAGATGATGAAGAGTCAGATAAACCTTCTAAAAAACGAAAAACCCTTCCGACCAAAAGACCATCAAAACCTGTGAGGAAAGCTCTACCTTCTTCAAGTCAAAGAGGACAGCCAGTACAGCCAGGACCACCATATCCTGTAACTCCAGGGACAGTTGTACCTGGAATGGGATCTGGGACCCCTCAAGTTCGTATACCAGGTGCCCTACGACTCCCCCCACGTTATGCCCAAGAACAAGGATTGCGACGACGTCAAAATCGGAACACTCAACCCTTCAATCCCCTTCGCAATATCTACGAAACAGAGCCACAGACTCTCGGCGTTGAAAGATTTAATGTTACCCAAGGAAGCGGAAGTGGGAGCGGGCAACCAAGACCAGCACAACAGCTCCCAGCCTATCCCAATAATCCACAACCGCGATACGCAGTTCCCGGTACCCAACGAGGACCCCCACGCAGAACTGAATCTGGTCGGGTACAACAAGTAACTCGGCCAGGTGGAAATACTACTATGGCGTCTTCTGGTCCCAGAAGTCCCGAAATGTTAGCCTGGCCTGAAACACGTATAGGTAGGCCAGAAGTGGCAGATCCTGAAACCCCCCCTCATGCAAGAAGTTTGGGAATGGGATACGCAAGAATACAACCACTAGACGGACAAGGAAAAGCGCATTATCGCGGTATCGGAAGTCGTCTGACAAGTATCCCACGCAACCTTTTTGGCAAAATGGCTGAGGATATTGTGCGTCTGAGGAATCCTAATGCTTCTGCTTCTCAATCTTCTTCCGATGAGATAGACCGAAGGGCCGGATTCAATAGACGGGAGTGGTTACGGAGTGAACGGGAATGGACCGAAGGGATTGCAGGTCCGAATGACAGACCTGACCTTACGTGGCAACAAAGGCGGTGGAAAGGGGCTAAATTCTTGGGCCAGGGAAGCAATGGAATCATTGGGCTTTGGCAGAGGAAGCCCGGTGGGGATGAGAATCCTTCGGAGAGCCAAATGGAAAGTGATATCAACAAGGTGGTTATCAAACAACAAAAGTTGGATGATAGTTTTGTGAAAGAAGCAGCCATGTTTGACTTACTTAAGAAAACGAACTCGTCCCATCTGGTTCAGGCATATAAAACTGCCATTGTAGATGAAAAGGGCTATGGTGTTTCGTCTGCGGAGAGAATGAGCTACCTGCCGGCCTCCTTAAATAGAGGCTTCAATCAAAAAGTGGGAAGGATGTTTATGGAGTTATGCGACGGTGGCACCTTGGACGACTATTTAGCCAAAGAGGTTTATATGTCTGTATTTTCCCCCTTAGTACCCGAAAGAGATGTACTGACCAGAGGTAGTGCTCATTCAGCAGACAAGCCGTTTCCAGAGCGTTTGGTGTGGTATGACAATATTCTCCTCCCATTTCTAGCATAACAAACCATATAGAAAATATAAGCTTACCTGCTGTCTCAATTCAGGCACATTTTCGGCTGCGTGGCTTTAGGACTTATAGCCATAGAGCATGGAAGTGAAGACCCGAGTAAATTCGGTAGGTCGTGGCAGACAATCCACAACCTAGTCCACTTCGATATCAAAGGCGATAATGGTAATGAGCCACTTCTAAATACAAATGCAGCTCAAAACTGATCAAGAATTACAGTATTTGTGAAACTTGGCGCCCCAGGACACGAAGAAACACCGCTTTTTAAGGTTAGTTAAGGGTGGCGCGGAAACTCCTGGCTTCGTAAGAACTTGGGTCTCTTTGATTCTGACATGAAATACAGATTGCAGATTTCGGATGCATGCAGGATGCACCACAACGGAACGAACAACGCAGAGATAGTAGTTGGGCTAGGAGAACGAGCTGGTTGACACGTTTTACAGGTGTCCATGCCGGTCCGGTATGTTCAGTTCACCCCCCATAATATGATGGAACTTCGGTTCTTTCCGTCTATATGCCTCAAGCTGATAATGCTTTAGGAAATGGCACATAACAATTACACCCCCGAGAGATATTATGGAAGCCCGTTGAACGTATGGTAAGTTGGAATCAATAAATCATCGCGAAACCCCTTTTCTGAAACTTCAAACAGGCAAATAGGTCGAGCGAAGGCGACAATCGTCTTGCGAGGTCGAGACATCTGGAAAGGGGTGGGACGGCGACCGTACTTCCAACTTCAACCCAATTCAAGCCAGGAGAAGGTTTTACGAACGATAGTAATCGATATTCTTGACGCTCCTTATTCTGTTGCCCTTCGAGGTCTTCTTCTCCGTTGCCTAGCATACGACTGGAAAGAGCGGCCTACCCCTATATCATTGTGGCAGGAGGTGAGGACGAACTCCGAAGTTGCGGACGGAGCCGCTAGACAAGTAGCACAACAAACGCAGCTGGAAGATGATCGGGCTATGTTTGAAGAGTTACAGAAATTGAATATGGAGATAGGTCAAGAAGGCGGAGGACAACCTCAATCACCCTGGCAAACTGAGTATCAAACTTTGCTGCGGCAATCAAAAGCTCCACCCAGAGTAACAACTCCAGCTGCAGGACATCCCGGGCAGACGAAGCCACCAGAAGAAAATTTACCTCTGTTCACAGATCCATCTGCTATGCCCACAGGCTTTGAAGATTATGGACGGCCACCTAGACCCCAGCCTTTTAAAAGGAGACGTCGCACAGATAGAGGAGACTAGTAACATGATCCCGCAAGATAGCACAAATATAGACCCAAGAAGAATGGATTGAGCTGAGTTTTATGAATAAAAGCACTTCCCTCGATTTCCGGAGGTGGCATGTAAACACTGCAATACCTAGATAATGAGCTCGGCAGAAAGAGGTTATTATTTTTGGATACTTAAAATATTGATCAAAATTTGTTTCAATTGTGACTTGATTCAAATTCATCAACAACCTCATAGATCTTTTCACTAAAAGCCTTAGCCTCTCATACCCCACCTTGTCAACACAAAGCTCGTGGTGTATGTTTCCAAGCGTAGAGATAGATAGCCAAGTAAGATAACAAAGTATCAAGTAAACAGAATCTAGCATCACTCTCCATCAACTCCTGTAATTGTGATTGAAGAGTGTCGAATCAGTTTAGGGTTATTGACCAAGAAGCCTCGTCACTTGACCTTTCCGACTCTTGGCGATCAACACTCTCAATAAGTTTTGACCACGATGAAGAATCCTCGATAAAGTTGGGAATCGGAGAACAATAACCGAATCTCTTACTTATACACGTCATACGCCGTAACCCCACCCCCTCCCCTCACCCAAGAAAAAACTTGAAATCTGACAACATGAATGAGGGGTCAATCCGCAAGGATCCCTTGAACCTTCCAAAAGCGGGGTGTGTTGTGTGGGGTCCTCTCCACATTGGCCCAAAGATTGCGCCGGCATTTTCCATATAAAACATACACCCCTACCCTATGTCAACAAATAGAAAGTAGTCAGATTCAACCAAAGCACCGGATTACCATATTTCGACCGGCAGTGAGAAAGGAGCTTTAAGTCGTGAATGGTCACTTACTTGAGATAGATGAACTAGAGATTCCGCAAAAACGCCATTACTGAAACACCGTCCCCAAAGAGCAAAAAAAGAAAACACAAAAAGACCGCGAGACAGAAGCAAAATGTCTTTCTTCAGACGAGAACCACCAACAGGTATAAAAGTTGTCATCGTTGGGACTGGGTTTGCTGGGCTTTCTGCTGCATTAGGTTAGTCAAAGTCTCGTCCCCTTGTGGAGAAGAACGTTGCTCTTTCCATCCCTTGATCTCGCCAGAACTATTTCCAGAGCTTCATTTCGAAATCGCGAACTGACTCTCCACCAGAATGTTACCGCAAAGGCCACTCAGTCCAAGTCCTTGAATCCTTCACCGAAAGGAAAGTTCTCGGGGACGTGATATCCTTCGGACCCAATGCCTCACACATATTTTCAGCCTGGCCAGACTTCACCTCCCGACTTTCGAAGTTCTGCCATTCCACAAACGAGATCATCATAAAAAACTACCTTGGCGAAACGCTCCTTAACCAATCCTGGGCCGAAGAGGAGAAGACCTATGGTATAAACTATAACGGCCACCGAGGAGAAATCCATAGCGCGCTTTTCGACTATGCGAAGGAAGTTGGAATTGACATTCGATTGGGTCACAAGGTGACGGATTATTTTGAGAATGATGACGAGGCGGGAGTAGTCGTGAATGGGGAGAAGTTTGTGGGTGATGTTGTGCTTGCAGCGGATGGAGTGAGAAGCACGGGAAGGACGATTGTGTTAGGATACGAAGATAAACCTAAAAGTTCTGGATATGCGGTTTATAGAGCTTGGTTCGAGGCTGCCAAGTTAAGGGAGGATCCTGAGTTGAGTTTCATTTTTGAGAACCCAGATGAGCTTGTTACATGGATTGGTAAGTTCGCTAAAGAGCCGTATGGTGGAGCAATGGGAAAAACAAGGACTAATTGGAGCAGGCCAAGATATCCATTTTATTGCCGCAACTCCGAAAAATGGCATAGATTTTAGCTGGGTCTGCACTCATAAGGTAAGTGGTATCCACTTTCGACGATGTTTACCGTCGCTCTACTAACCTGTATATAGGACGACGCCGATATCAAGGAGAGTTGGCAGACTCATGCACCACTGGCAGATGCCAAAAAGAACCTAGAAGGATGGGATCCAATCGTCCATAAGATCATGGACGCAACACCCGATCCAGTGATTGATTGGAAGTTGGTATATAGAGATCCGCTGCCCAATTGGGTATCACCAAAACGAAGGATAGCATTGATAGGAGATGCCGCTCACCCCTTCCTGCCAACATCCATTCAAGGCGCTACGCAAGCTCTCGAAGATGGCACCACTCTGGGAGTCTGTTTGGCCAATTGCGTTACCAGTTCCGGAAAGAATGTTCAAGAAGCGCTTTTGGCATTCGAAGCCCTCCGTTATGATCGGGTTCTGAAAGCCCAGAAGACTGGGGAAAAAACAAGAGATAGATGGCATAAAGCCAATTGGGAAGAGGTAAAGAAGAACCCCAAGAGCGTGAGTTTGCAGAGAGAAGAATGGTTGTTGAATTTTAACGCGGAAGAATATGCGAAAAAGAACTACCATGCTACCGTTCAGGAGTTAAGAAAGAAGACTGCCAATGGTGTCACTGGTGTTAATGGCGGTAAGCTTGAACAGAGTGGTGCTATTTCTGTCTGTGGTTGAGATTCGGAGTAGATAGAATATGTATGAGTTTGGCAGCTTGTATTGTAGTCGAACGTTTTGCCTCAGAGGTATCGATGACTCGACGTAAAACTGAAAACTTTGTGTAATTGCTTCCGCAAAAGGCATTCGGTGCGGCTCAGGGTGTTCTCTTTTTTAGGAAGAGTAATTTCTCAGCGAAAGGACTGTATAACACTTCTCCAATTCAAACTCTACCAAATAGAGGTGCCCCAAGCCACACGTTTGAATGCCAAGTTTGTAAGAAACCTGGTCATTACTTAGTGCACGCCGTTAAAAATTATTATGCCAAAAGTCTGGCACAAGTAACTCATTTGTTCTATTTCACCTGGCTTAATAAGAAGTGAAAAGTAACAATTATTCTAAATTGTTCGTATAATTGTTTTAGTTGTGTGAGCAGTTTAGGGTAATACCGTTGGAACTCACGTGTGTGCAGAGCAGGTGATGGCCGCCTCTTTTATATTATGTTTACATTTGTGCCATCAAACCCCAACCTTCTCGTCATTGCGGCATATCCCGTCAAAATCTCCATATTCGTTCATTCCCAACTGAACAATTTTAGTAAACTTATCGAAACTGCAGCTAGCACCGGGTCCATCTTGACAATGTGGAATTGGTCTTGGTGCACTATTTGCGATGATTCTGATATACTCTCTAGTATCATTTGGGTCAGCGGAAACTGAGTTGCATGTGAGTATCTCAATCCCCACGTGTCCGAGAAATGGAATGAGTTCTGCCATGCGCCATGATCGACTCCAATTCACACGATCCAAAGGAAACTCTTCTGCATGAGAGTTGGAGGAATTGAATAGTCCAAGTGCAGTTGCAATAAATGGCGGCACCTCTCTATGTGTGAAACTTAGGAAGAATCGTTGCCCATCATCGTCGGGAATTCCTTCAGAGCCGCCTTCATGCGTTGGTACGTGGAATTTGGACATTAGCTTTGAAGTTGTATTGAGCCATGGAAAACCTAAGTACGGCGAGAGAGGGTTGCCATGGCCAACCATCAAAGAATATTTCATATCCCAAGCATACTCGTAAGCCATCCACTCGTTATCTGCAAAAACGTCACAAATAAGGGATTTCTTTCCACGGATAGCGGATTCATAACCACATAGTTGCTGCATGCCCATGATATCCGTCTCTTCCAATCGGATAGGTGCGTATCGCTGAAGACGTTCAATTATCGGTGGAGTATAAGATGACATAAATGTCCTTAGTGCATCATTTCCTGGCGTCTTGGAGAACGCATTGCAAGCCTTGTGGGGTAGCTGGGAACGAAAGGAAGACTTGTTCCCTGGATCCATCTCCACAATCTCCACCTCCTGAGGAAAAACTTTCACAAATGCCTTTGCGGTATCCTGTGTTCGCGATTTCTTATCCGCATATATTCTTTTTGTCGTGGGAACCAGCTCTGGGTATCTTGACAGCAAGTGTTTCCCAACCTTTTTCGAGTCTTTTATTCCCTGCGGGGTGATTTTCTCCAATTGATTATCGGGATCTGGTATTGGCGTTTGCCATTTGTTGAAGAATGACAGAGAGCCCGTCCATCCTTTCCGCACCTTCCATGCCACAGTGGTGTCAAGTTTCTTGAGGAAGGGCGCGATGTATTTTTCATAATCGTCGTCATTGGCATAAATTGCTGCATGTCGGATAAGGTACGATGCAGCGGTGACTTTGCAATCTTGAGGAGGCGTATGGTCCAAGCCAGAACCAATTGCATCGAAATAGGGACTGATTCCTGGGAGATGACGGAGGGAGTTGAATTCGTAGTTTTCGGAGTGTGACTGAGTAACGAGGGGAATCTGGGTGGATGTGAATGGGAATGTGGAGGTGGACCTTGCGGAGCCGCCTGTCAATGTCAGGCACAGAGCTAAAATAGCTGCCGCCCATCGTCTAGATAGGCTCATACTCATAATACACTCTCGAATGGATTGTTTCATCAATTGCAGATGATAGATACCCAAATCACGGCCATGCAGGCCAAAATAGAAGCCCGCAAGAGCTCTACTTTCTGCCAATGACATCATCATGGTGGTGTTCCTGCCAAGGAAAGGTACGATGGTTCTGTGCAGGTACCTCCTGATAGGCAAGAAAAGTGGTAGAGACCTCTTTTATCTTGTCCTAACTTAGCTAAAAACCATTATATTAAATTATTTGTTTAGAACAATTAAAACGATTTATCTAAAACGACAGCACAAGAAAGGTAATTAAGCTATTTTAGTACTTAGAATTTACTCACGCTAATAGTTAAGAAACAAATCTCTACCACTTACCTTTCTAATCTAAAAACTATTATATTACGTTATTAGTTTAGAACAATTAAAATGCTTGATCTAACACGATAGTACAATAAAGGCAATTGTTCCAGGTATTTGAAACACTTAGGTACTTAAAACTTATGCTAATAGTTAAAAAATAAATCTCTACCACTTTTCTTGTCCCCCAGGAGAATACCTACTCAAGTACAGACAGTGCGGCACAGCTCTCCTCTTTTTCCAAGCGACAACGCCACTTTACTCCTCTATTGAATGGCATTTTGGCATTTCATCAAATGGTGAACTCGGATATTCTTATCAGTGCAGATAGTGATAGTCTGTCTCTCTTGACTTGACCTATCTGTATCGATATCTATCTACATCTCTATCTCGCACGACGGACGGCAATTTTCTCCATTTATCAACAATTCGGGCAGGATCCGGGGCAGATCTCCTGGAGCCGAGTTGGATCACGTTGGACATGCCCCTGTCCGTACCCCATTGTTGAATTTTGGGGCTCTTACCCCGCGTGGTGCCCGTGAGAATCCCGGGAGTGGGGTAATAAAGGACTAAGGTAATAGATCACTAATAATCAGTGCGTCTTCCCATCTGCGCTCTCGCTCAAGGACTATTACATACTCCAGTATAGATGGGGTTACAGCGGCATCGTCGGGCTGGGGGTCCATACAGTGCTTCCAGGTTGTTTTTTGACCGTTCTGAAAGTGGGATAGATGGCATTACATGACAGAGGAGAGAACTAGAGGATCGTTATTTGCTTCTTCAATTTACAGTACATCAAGAGTTAGCAGCTTCTTTCATGACAACTGCAAAAGTCGGTCCCGTAGGTAAACTAGATCCTTGACAGTGAAAACACATCCAAGATGCATGTCTTCCCCTCTCGACCCCATTCACCGCCTCTGGGGAACCACCCCCTAGTATAAACCGATTCCCGGTTTCCGAGTTGGAGATACTTAGCTCTAAAATACCACTTGTATGGATTTGTTATGCATAAGCAGCCTTTTAAATAGTCGTGGTTCTCGCTAAATGGTCTCGATTCTTCCGTCGTTCTTCATGGTGGAACCTGGCCGACGCGCAGTCCAAAAAACTCAATGACAATCGTACCGAAATATCGCCAAAGTGGCACTGAGTTGCAGGTCCACATCCCATCTTTCGGGGTAATCGACAAAGGTGTGGACCTAAAGTGGAATATTCTATCAGGTGATTTTTCCCCGCGATTCGACAGAACTCGTACGGAGTGTAGGGCTAGGGCTTGGCTGGACTTGGCATGGACTATAAGTATTCAGGCTATTCTGTTCAATTCCTTCCGGCCAAGTCAAGTTAATTCTTTGATCAAGACTGGACGATGAAGACTTCGATTGTTTCGGCTGCTGCCACGGCTTTGCTGTTTGGCAATGCACAAGCTGGATGGACTAATGTTAGCGAAGTACCTTTGTATGGCCTCAGTGAACCCGTCTATCCAACTCATATTTCAACTCTCAATTGCACTTTAAACGGCCGCTAATCGAGTTATAGCACAAGGACTGGGTAGAACTTCGCCAAAATGGGCCGCAGCTTACGAAAAGGCACATGCCTTCGTCGCTCAACTAACACTTGAGGAAAAGGTCAATATTACCATGGGATTTGAAGACGATGTTTGCATAGGAAACACTGGTTCAATTCCACGACTTGGATTCAAGGGTCTTTGTTTAGAAGATGCTCCTGCCGGTATCCGTGGTCCGGATTTCGTCTCTGCCTTTCCAGCTGGGATGCATCTCGCTCAGACCTGGGATAAGAAGTGGATGTACGAGTATGGAAAGGCACTGGGTGAAGAGTACTATGGTAAGGGTGTCAATGTTGCACTCGGCCCAGTTGGTGGTCCCATGGGTAGAATTGCACGAGGAGGAAGAAATTGGGAGGGTCCTGGCGCGGATCCATACCTCACGGGCATTCAGATGGAAGAGATAGTTAAAGGAATGCAAGGTGTGGGTGTTATTGCTTGCTCCAAGGTACGTCATAACAGTCCCTGTTAAATTCACTTTCTGACCCTCCAAAAGCATTTCCTTCTCAATGAACAAGAATGGAGACGTCTTCCAAACGAAATGGGAGGGGAGAATCACTTTCCTCCAATGTTGATGACTCGACTACGCATGAGCTCTATGCTTGGCCATTCATGAACGCTCTACGGGCTGGTACTGGAGCTATTATGTGCATTTACCAACGATCCAACAATTCCTACGCCTGCCAAAACTCTAAACTCATGAACGGTATCTTGAAGACCGAACTCGGATTTGAGGGATTCATAGTCTCGGATTGGGATGCACAACAAACTGGAGTTGCGACAGCAAATGCTGGTCTTGATATTGTCATGCCTGATTCAGGATATTGGGGTAAAAACTTGACCCAGGCCGTCAACAATGGCTCTGTCACTGTTGAGCGTATTAATGATATGGTTGAAAGAACTATGGTACACTTTTCCCACCCCATTGTCTAATATACACAAGAAATTGAGCTAACTTTGATAAATATTATTTAGGCCTCCTTCTACTTCTTTGATCAGAATGGCACTTTCCCGCCAGCAGCAATCCACCCATCAACAGTTCAACACCCAATCCTCGATGTTCGTGGTGATCATGATAAGGTCATTAGAGTAATTGGTGCGGCGGGCCACATTCTCATCAAAAACGTCAACAAAACACTCCCCCTTAAGAAGCCTCGCTTCGTCTCTATTTTCGGTTACGATGCCGAAGTCAAGCCTGTCCCATGGACGAACCCCCTGAGATACGGCGGAGGTTACGAAGTGAACTTTGGATAGGAAACCTTCAATGGAACACTCATCCTCGGCGGAGGTTCGGGCTCCAACAGTCCTCCATATGTCATCTCCCCTTTCAAAGCGATTCAAGATCGTGTTATTGCCGACCGAGGAGTCCTCCGATGGGATTTCTATTCCGAGAACCCTACCCCAGAAGCGAACACCGAAGTTTGCCTCGTTTTCATCAACGCCTACGCCTCCGAATCTTTCGATCGCGTCTCTCTCACCGACAAATTCTCCGACAACCTTGTCTTGAAAGTCGCCTTCAAATGCCCCAATACCGTCGTCGTTCTCCACTCAGCAGGCACCAGAGTCGTAGACGCCTGGATCGAACACGAGAACGTGACGGCTGTTATCTTCGGTGGTCTCCCAGGACAAGAATCCGGACACGCGCTGGTGGATGTTCTCTATGGAGATGAAAACTTCAGTGGGAAGCTAACGCATACCGTCGCCAAGAAGGATGAGGATCATGGGGCGATACTCAATGCTACTGTTTTGTTTGATGCTTTTCCTCAAGATAACTTTACTGAGGGCGTCTATATTGATTACAGAGCTTTTGACAGAGATGGCATTGAACCACGTTTCGAGTTTGGATTCGGGCTTTCTTATACTACTTTCGGGTACGAGAATCTTACCATCACTCCATTGGAAGTAGTCAACAAGGGAGAGTATCCCAACCGGGCCATACCTGTCATTCAAGGAGGACATCCCGAACTTTGGGATATGATCTACAATATCACAACGGTTATCACAAATACAGGTGATGTAAAGGGTGCAGAGGTCGCACAATTATACATCGGGATACCTGGATCCCCTGCGCGACAGCTTAGGGGATTCGAGAAGGTTATACTTGAGCCTGGAGCAAATGCAGAAGTTACCTTCGGAGTTACGAGAAGGGATTTGAGTGTTTGGGATGTGGTTGCTCAGCAGTGGAAGCTACAACAGGCATGTAACTACACTGTCGAGGTCGGTGCCAGTAGTAGAGATATGAGAGTCAAGAGAAGCACTGATTTGTGATACCTGAAATGACACTAGGAAGTGTGTAATACATAATAGCTTAGTGGGCTCTTTTAATAAATAATGATAAGCAAGTCGATCCGGTGAACTCTGTGTGCTATCTGATTAAATGAAAACTCTTCAATGTTTTCGATTTCTAGTAAACTTCGAGTCGGCGAGTCCAATGTATGGTACGTATGTGCACTCCTTCTACATCGCATAGCGGAGTAGTCTTTTGTACAAATGGTTAATAACCATCAAGTCGCAAAACTAGATCGTCGCATTGTCACATCGTCGTATTCCATCGCGCAAACAAACAAGCACGAAAAAGGAAAAAGAAAGTACAAATTATTAGCTATGTCAATTAACAATACACCAGTAAGCCTACATAAAAGAACCCCATCCCCAAAAATGGCAAAACTTAAGACCACGGCGTAAATACCGTGGCTCAAGAAACCCCCTCACCCCCTACTGGGAGTTTAGGGGATGTTTTCAGAACTGAGGACTGCGTTACGCACATCTCAGAGATACTATGTCTCCTATATCAACACCGTTGAGGAATAGGGCTGTCTTTTGTTCTTTTTTTTTAATCTATTTTTTCAACATAGAGGGCTTCATTTGGAAGTGGAACTGCAAGTATTAGCTGGTGAATCAAGGGAGTGAAAGAGAACTTACCAAGACCTATGGAACTATGGAACCTCGGGCCGACCATTTAGGACTTTGTGTTTTTTTTTTCTCTTTTTTTCTGCAAGCATGGAATGCGAGCGGCGCGTTAACCGTTAGCTTACTTGAGTGGTTTTTTGACGAGTGCCTTGGTTGGCAATGGTCGTTCGTTTTATTTGTGCCTTTGGAGTAATCTTGGCTCTTCTGGGGGTTATGGGTTAGTGGTTGAGGGGGAAGTATTCACTTCTGCTGCTGGGCGAAGCGGTAGTGTGGTTGGTGTCATTGTTTACTTGAGCTCTTCAAGGACTGACGTGGAGCCTCTCCTTTTGCTTCTCCACGACACCAACAATGCGAAAACTTCCCATCAACAAGTACACTGTTATCAATTCTTCTTCTCATTAATCCAAATTTTCCTGGTCATCCTGTCCCTACTTAGGGCGAGGGTGATGGTGAGTACAAGAAAAGATGGACGCGCACTATCCTCAACGAATCTTGCGACACGCCAAAAGCTCCCAGTTCCAACGCGCACCAGCCAACGCTCAACATGAATCCCAAAAGCTGAGAAAGTCGAAGAGCGCCTACTTCCATCATGCCACGAAGAACTCCGAAGAGAAGACACCTCAAGACAAGACAACAGAAACAAAAACACGGCACAGCTTCCTCTCCAAAGTCAAAGCAGCATTCGCACGCACGAGTATCGCAAGAACACATAGAAAAACTCCATCACAGCTCACCTCCAAACTGCAAATGACGCGTCTCGAATACCGTCTTCACGCCTTGAATCACTACTCTACTCCACAGCAATACCACAGAATTCACCTCGCTGCAATAATCTTCCACCCCAAAACCAACAAGCTCCTCCTCGTCAAAGATCCTGTTGGAATCAAACTCACCATCCCAGAAACGGCAATGTTCGCGCGTCATTCTTCATTAGGAGAGGCCCTAAGCGAGGCTTTATTTTCGAGTACAGGGTTGAAGATCAGCGAGGTCAAGAGAGAGGTCTTGCCTGTGTGGGAGTTTGGAAGTTCGTGGACAATTGGAGAGAAGGGCGAGGGGATGAAATCTGTGATGCTTAGTTTTGTTGTTGAAGCGAAGGATTTGGAGATGGTTAGGGGTGATGTGAGGTGGGTTGGGGAAGAGGAGGTTGAGTGGTTGGAGATGGATAGGGGAATGAGAAATCTGATGAGATGGGTTTTTGATGAGAGAATTCTGGAGGGGTAATATTTAGTGGTTGGAAGTTTGGTGATGGTATTAGGATGAAAAAGGAAGGTTATACGAAGCTGTTTTTTTGTGTGCAGAGCTTGTCCCTAGTTACTCGCCAACGTTAGTTTCGACAATCGAGATTGATAAAAAAGGGGGAATAGGAATCTCAAAAACAGGAAGAAGTGTTTTAAAAGGTGGAAGAGTCTGAATGATGTGATTCTGGTTTACAGACTTTTATGTTCTTTTTGTTTGTTGCACAGGAAGACCGAGGATCTTCGAGGTGTGATGTTATGTGTTGGAGTTAATTTGTATCGGAGTTGCCTCTTCAAGCTCATGGAGACAAAGGATATTCCGTCCCGCGACACTTCGCGATTTTCCCTTCCCCAGATTCAAGTCTCCTCTAGGCGCCATGTCTTCATCGATTTGTTTTCTTTTTCTTCCTGGTGCTTCCACATTCGCTCTTGCTTTTCTACCGAGTAAATCAATGTTTTGGGGGGCTTCGAGACACGGCAAGACGATGCAGTACTTTTGACGAGTTACGGTCGTCCATCCACACACGTGCTCAATTACTTTAAATGCATCCTGGTGAAAGTGTGAGTACCTACATGAGCTACCAGCCTCCTGGCTTTTTGGTGCTTATTTCGGGTATTCACTTTAGCCAGGTTATGGTGTTCAGTGGGGGGGCTGTATTGGTTGAGAGGTCCCTGAAGTTGCGGGGTATTGAAATGAATTGCCCACCACTCACCACTTACGTGATGTACCTTTACCCAGGTCCCAGGCTCCCGGTGGATAAGAAAAATGGCAGGGATTCATTTTTTTATAACTATTAGCGTAAGTTATCTCCAAGTACTAAAATGTTTAAAATATCTAGAACAATTGTCTTGATTGCCCTATCGTTTTCGATCAATCATTTTAATTAATCCAAATAAATAACATAATATTATAGTTTTCAGTTAAGTCAGGCTAAGATAAAAGAGGTCTCTGTCACTTTTTCTGTCCACTAGGAGCCAGAGTCTGGTCTGGAACCAGATTTAGAAAGGTACTGTGCATACGGAGTACGGTAACGCAAAAAAGGTGTGGCGTCCCCTCTCTGCAGATTCAAGCCCTATCACTATCAGCATAGCACACCAATCTGGAGCCACCGTCAGCTTATGCGAACAAAGAATATTCTCCTTCCGCCTCTTCTTTTTTCCTTCCGTGACTCTTTCTTATTGTTCCTCTTCTGTACCAAGACTCCCCCGAGTTCTAACTGCCTGCGCGGATCGTCTTCTTGGGGTATCGGTTACATGTCTTCAGCGTCTTTCTTTAACGTTCCCTTCTTCCCCCCCTTACCTCATCGTCGTCCTTCCTTGACTCGCAATGAACCCGCCTAGTGAAAGCAGTGCGATTGAGGATTATTTTGTGTGGGAAACTGATTCCGAAGTCGAAGTGATTGTCAATCTGGATACGAACGAACGTGCCCAATTTGTACCTTTAGCAGATATCAAAGCCTACTTCGGGGCCAACGAGGCAAGAAATCTCACTAAAATCCTACAAGAGATCTTCAGAACGCAAGATCTACCGATTGAGCCAGATCTGATACTGCAGGATCACACTGCAGTCCTGTGTATACTGCTGCGGGTCGGCCAGGGATGGCTGATTGAAGAATTTGCCTACTATGAAGAGCTTTCAGATCGCCGCTTGCCCTTTGATTCGACTCGGCCCCAACAAGAGTTTCCGATGATCGAAGAAGATTCGTCTTTTTTCGAGCGTTTTTGCGACAATCAATGGAGATATTATGTGCCGACCTTCGAAAGTCATATGCTACATAAGCAATTTGGAAAACAGAGGCTACTCCCTATCATTGAACAAGAGCTTCCCGAAGTCGAGGGATTGGCAGTCAATCGTGTAGTCAAAATATATGGTCCGTACAACAAATTGTCCGATGTCACAGGAAAAAGTGTGAGCATATATGGGGAATTCCATCAATTGAAGCTGCCGTACTGATTGGACTTGAGGACACGCCCGATAGCAATAAGTTTGTTCTCAGAACGTACTTCAGAACATTTGGTGATGATCTCTACAAGCAAGAACTCAACGTGTTTCGAAGTTTCAAGAACGCAGACGGTATTATCAGATTTTATGGGAGTTATGTGCAGGGAGATTCCATGAACATTATTCTGGAATATGCAGATAGGGGCTCCTTGGAGGAGTATTTTCGGGCCGAGACTCCTCCGAGTCGGGGTATGGATATCATCAGATTTTGGGATTCCATGTTCCAGTTGATCGAAGCCTTGAAGACAGTGCATTCATTCCGGAGGTTAGTGATTTTGCCATCCCTTAATTATCGAGTTTGCTCGCTTAGTAGCTGATCTACGCAGTGGACATGGGGGGATAACTCCTGATACCGTAGTTGTTGTGAGTAATGGAAGCCACAATCCTTCGGATTGGCAATTCAAACTCGCTGGTTTTGGTGTGGGCACCAAGAACGATTTTGAGAGAGGTGAACCCAACTTGAACACGACTAAACGTGTTCGGGAGTATGGTATGTATTCTCTCTCCACTCCAACTTTGACTTGCCACCTCAGCTCATAAAATAGGTTCTCCCGAATCACGTTTACCTCATGGCTACGATGAGCCGAGAGAAGTGGATACATGGGAAGATGATATATGGTCACTCGGCTGTATTTATAGTGAGGCGGCAATATGGATATCTGATGGTTATAGAGGGTTGGAAGAGTACCGCAAAGGTCGTACGTCAAGCGCTGGAAACGCATCTTTTCATGATGGTGAACGAGTTCTGCAAAAAGTCCTAGATACCCACAGAGATATCGAAGATCGCCTACGACGATCCGATTATATCACAAAAGATGTCCTGGACTCAATGGTGGACGAAATGTTGTGGGAAGAAGACCGGCCAAACTCCAAAGCATTATCAAGGAAAGCCGACGTGATTGTATCAAGATCCCGTAAAAAGGTATCTCCAAGTTCTTCCAGGAAAAACAGCAACTCAAGCCGTGCTCTTCCACCACCACGTCTTCCACCTTCTCAGCCACTCCCCTCAGTCCCTTCAAAACCTAGTTTGTCTTCAATTTCAGAGCGACAAGTTGCAGTTGCGGACGTTGATAATTGGAGATCCCAAGTCACACTACCGCAAAGTACGTCGCCATCCGTGAATGGAGTTGATCAGAGCCCTGTTATCTCTAGCCGACAAATGAGTTTCACGGTCAGCGAATCGGATCTTGACAGGGAAAATTGTGGTTCTACGACTAGTTGGAGACATGGAGATGACGCCTCGGCTGCCTCTACGATCTCTTCGTTTCCCTCGCCTCGTCCAAGTGTTCGATATGATCAGCACAAGCATAGTCCAAACGAGGGAATGCACCGTACTTATTTGAGCCCATATTCTCACGATGAGCGGAGAGGTCTAATGGCTTCTTCTCCGCCTCAAGCTATTGTACATGAATTGCCGGCAGATGAGGCAAATATGTCCTATCCTCTAATACCTCAGCAAGTTCCTCAGCAAGTCCCTCCAACAGTGCCCCCACTACCTCAACAGATACCCCCAAAAGTACCTCCATTACCTCCGTCGCCTCCACAGGTAGTTCCTCAAGAACAAAACAGAGGCCAAAGCGAAGGAAATAGCCAAAAGCAACCAGTTGATGATTCAAGCCGTCCTGGGCATAGTATTAGTCAAGCCAGTAGCCGGAATTCCTCAAGTATATACTCTATTCCCATTTCGCGAAGCACATATTCCACAGAGACAAAGTTACCCATCAAATCGAAGTCACAGAAACGCTTCGGTATATTTTCATCAAAATCTGTCAGCGCACCCGTCTTGATTGGAGGGCCTGTTGCCAATAGCCCACAAGATTTTCTGTCGGTCGATACATGTCTTCAATGGAAGAAGGCTTACAAGAAAACCAAGAAATCTTCCAAGGTCCCACCACTACCTGGAGCAAATGTAATTGAAACTATGAGAGGCCGAGACCATGTTAGTGCAAGCCATAATCGTCTACCAGTATGTCTGTTTCAAAGACTAATCGTTCCGCTTTAGATTTTCATTGTCGATGATAGTGCCTCAATGGCCAACGTATGGCCAGAAGTCAAACGCGTCTTCGAAGCACTCACCTACGTCGTAAAAGGCATGAGCCCGAACGGAACCGAGCTATTCTTCACCATCGCATACGACACCTACCTGCGAAAAGACACCTCCGAACTCTGCACCTTCCTAGAAAGTAAAGAACTCGCGGGCAGAACAAATATCTCCTACCGACTCAATCTCCAACTCCAAAGCTACGAAATGAAGCTGCTGAATGCTAGTCGTGCCAAGGGTAAGAAGTCTCTTATCCGGCCCATGAGTTTCTACATTCTCTCCGATGGCGAGTGGGGGGAAGGGATCGATCCTATGATTCCTATTCACAGAACGGCGAGCTTTTTGAGGGAGCAGAATGTGGAGGTTGGACAGGTTACGATTCAATTTATCACCTTTGCGGAAAGTGCTAGGGCGATGCAGAGGTTTAGTGGATTGTCGCAAGAAGACTTTGGTTTGTAAGTTCATCTGTTTCTATTTTTCTCGGTTTGCATGTGAGAATACTGACTTGGTGTTTCTGAAGGGATATAGTGGATTGTGCGCCGTGGCGGGGTAATGTTCTTAGGATGCTTCGTGGCCCGCTTGATAAATCTGTTTACGGGGATTGAACTGGAGATCTTCGAGGCTGTATTTTAATATTGCCGTGCTGCAATTTGAATCAGACATTAGCTTCGTGTAGGTGGAGAGGCTCAAGAACGGTCTTCCAGGACGACTGAACTTCTCGTTGTATTGGCAAGAGTTGTATAAAATGGAAACAACAATCCATCCTGTCCTGGTTAATCTCCAGATCTAACACAAAATGATACTTGGTCAAGAAGCAGGATGAACGAATCTGAGGGATACATTACGATAAAGGAATTACTCCCTCATGCTTTGAACACAAAGCAATCCCAACAGAGGAAACAACCAGTAAGGAAGCTATGAGAAGAAGACGTTGCAATCTGACTTTATCCTTGCAGCAATATATATAGATCTTCCATCATTGGCAATCCAACTATACTACATTCCGAAGAAGGAAGGGAAATTCACTTTTCGCTCGATTATTTGACCCTATAACAGAGGCGAGCATTGCTCTGTACTGTACACGCTATCAAAAGTCATTATGTCAAAACTCTGGCACAAGTAAATCAATTATACGAATAGTTTAGAACAATTGCTACTTATCAATTCTGATTGTGCCAGGTGAAATAGGACAATCAAGTTAGTTGTGCTAGAGTTTTGACATAATGACTTTTGATAGCGTTTTAATTCTGATTGTGCTAGGTGAAATAGGACAATTAAGTTACTTGTGCCAGAGTTTTAATATAATGACTTTTAATAGCGTTTCAATTCTGATTATACTAGGTGGAGTAGGACAAATAGGTTACTTGCGCTAGAGTTTTAATATAATAACTTTCGATAGCGTATAGAGCAATGCTCGCCTCTCTTACTATAAGACAGCTGGGCTAAACTCTGTAGTCTTATACACCCTAAGAACATATCATCCTAGAATTCCTGAAACAATTAACTTAATTGTTCTAAATAACTTAGATTACTGAAGATATATTAATTTGGATTAACGTGCATGTATAGCGAACCGGCCAAACAAGCGAACCGGCCAAACAAGCGAACCGGCCAAACAAGCGAACCGGCCAAAACCCGGCGACCCCACCACACCTCCACGAAATATTAAATTTCTCTACAACGAAGGATGCCTCTGAAAAATGACGAAAGCAGGTTAGTCTTAGCTATCCAAGCTATGCAAAAAGACCCAAATTTACGTGCTCGAGCTGCTGCCAGGACCTATTCTGTAGACCACCGGAAGCTAGGTCGACGTTTGCTTGGTATACCTTCACGACGCGATATTTTAGCCAATTCACGGAAAATGACCGAGCTAGAGGAATCAGTACTTGTTCAACATATCCTCGACCTAGCTACAAAAGGATTTCCTCCGCGGATATCTGTAGTTGAAGATATAGCAAATCGACTTCTTGAAGCACGCGACGCGCCACGCGTCGGGACGCGTTGGGCTTATAACTTTGTTAAGCGCCGCCCAGAACTCCAGACACGCTTCCAACGAAAATACGACTATCAGAGAGCTAAGTGCGAAGATCCAGAAGTCATTCGTGGCTGGTTTGAGCTTGTACGAAACACAATAGCGAAGTACGGAATCTACGATGCAGATATCTACAACTTTGACGAGACTGGGTTTATGATGGGCGTTATCTCAACTGCAATGGTTATTACAAGCTCAGAAGGACGTGTAAAAGCAAAAAGAGTACAGCCTGGTAATCGGGAATGGGTTACAGTAATCCAGGGGGTTAATGCCCAAGGCTGGTGTGTTCCACCGTTTGTGATTGTTGCCGCAAAAAATCACCTCGCTTCTTGGTACCAAAACAGTGGATTTCCACCTAACTGGGTGATTGCTATTACTGAAAATGGTTGGACAACAAATGAGAAAGGCATGGATTGGATTCGACATTTTGAGAAGCATACAAAGTCCCAATCTATTGGTGGTTATCGTCTATTAGTCCTCGACGGCCATGAAAGCCACCACTCCGACGAATTTGAGGAATATTGCAAGGAAAACAACATTATCACTCTTTGTATGCCTGCTCATTCTTCTCATATACTCCAGCCACTCGACGTTGGCTGTTTTAGCCCTTTGAAAAGGGCATATGGTCAGCAAATTGAAGATATGATGCGGGCTCCGATCATCCATATTACTAAGGATGATTTCTTTCCTGCCTTCCACGCCGCATTTAATATTGCAATGACAGAAAGCAATATCCGAGGAGGGTTCCGAGGGGCTGGGCTTCTTCCATTTGACCCAGAAAGTGTAATTTCTACACTTGATCTTAAGCTAAAGACGCCAACGCCTCCAAACTCCCCCCCGTATTCCGCTCAGCCTTGGGTTTCCCAGACACCAAATAACCCTACTGAAGCCTTATCACAGACTGCATTTATTAAAGATCGAATTTTACGCCACCAAAGTAGCTCTCCAACCCCTATTTACGAGGCCATTGACCAGTTTACGAAGGGTGCATCAAAAGTAATGCACCAGATAGTACTATTGAAAGCTGAGAACCAGAGACTTCGACAAGCAAATGAAGTACTAAGTAAGCGCCGTAGAGCTAAAAAACACGCCTACAGCAAGGAGGATCACTTAGTCAACAGGAAGCGCAGGACCTACAGGATGATAGACACGTTGGTGAGCAGGTAATGCAGGAAATAAAGAGAAGTAGTGGTCGGAAGCCGAGGGAAGAATTACGTGCACGGCGCTGTGGCAACTGCGGAGAGACTGGTCATAATACGCGCACCTGTAATATTATAGAGGAAGTATCTGAGGAAGAAATTTCTGAATAGTGTTTTTTAATTAGAGGCGTTGGGGTAGAGTTCTTACAATTTCAATCGCGAGTGTAGAAATTTTTGGCCGGTTCGCTATACATGCACGTTATCTAAGAATAGCCTTAATTATTAATTTAATTACTTCAGTAGTATTAAAACCTCCGCTAAAAGCGTATAGCTTAGAAGTAAGTATACTTCTACTTGTCACGAATCACGTGCTCACGTGATACTTGTCATAATAAAGAGGCGCAACCCTCGACAGGCACGTCCAGGTTCGAAGACAAATAAAAAACGCGTAATATTAACGCGTTTTTATTATTGAATCACTCTATCATATCTACCTACTGAGCTCTTACTCCTTGCAAAGCGCAG